GCCAGTTTAGAATCATTTATTCTTCATGTAAAGCTGGTGCCATTTGAAGGCATATTTTCACATCTCCAAGTGAATCGCCTCCATTTCACCTTCACAATTTCAAGCATATTTTCCACTTCGAAAAATCTTTCTGCTATATTCATCCAGCTTTTTACATTTCCCCCTGAAAAGTTTTTGGAACTCTGTAATTTGTAACGAGTCACCCACCATTCGCCTACACTTCCCTTATGTTGAAGCTGCTGAGCTTCAGAATTTCCGCCCGAACAAATGTCTTGCTGTTCAGACAAGGGGGTTTTCCCCATATTCAAGATCAATTGTTTCAACCCCAGCATTTCTTTCTCTAACTACCTTTCAGAATTCTTTTCCATTTCACTCATTTCCTTATTCACTTCTTGTTTCATAATTTCCTCCATCTTATTGGCTTCTTGAGCTCTGCTGTTTTCGGACATGGCCGTGGGTGGCTCTGATACTGATGTTGTGGGTTGTTTAAAAGAGAGGATTTTGGGTTTAGGGTATGGCCAATAGGGGAAAGCGCAGGTTTAGCACAAAAGAATTACAGGGAGAAGGGAGAGTCTGATTCCAAGAAGAAGATTATCCAGAATAGGTGTTTCATTCATATCTCAACTACAATGCAGTACAGGTACTTATTCCTTCTAATTTGTACCTTAACTAACGGGAAGAAGTTAGTTATTAGAACAGCTACCTATTTAAAATCCATACAACAAAGAACTACTTTACAAGTTACAAATTGTTGAAACCTAGGAAGACAACAAAACGGAAGTACTCAGAAAGGATGAGAAACATACCTCTTTGCTGGACCATATATAGAAGGCTCCTTCCTTTTTCCTTTTAGCACCTTCATACTCAGCACTATCAGCATCCTCTGCTGAAAATATCTCACCTTCTGATCCTATCATGTCCCTCCTCAAGTAATCAAGAATATCACGCGAAACCCATGAATAGAAAACATCTTTGGTGATGGAGAAAGCATCCAAATAAGTATTAGCAAGTTGCCCTTGATCGTACAACATCTTCTCAAAATGTGGAACTGCAAGAAATGGCAACAGTTACTAGATACCATATCAAGCAGCAATATTACAAAAATAAAGACAGTTCTCCACCATTAAGTGAGGAAAAAGAAAAAGGCAAGTTGGCAACTAACCAGAGTAGAAAGGAAAGAATATAATGTTAGTATGGCATTGATGTCCAAAATACACGTTATTGTACAGATCCATCCTAAGACGAATCTAACGAACTGGTAAGATATGAAATCAGGGAATATCAGGAAGAGAAAAGGAATGGAAAACTCACCATGCCAATGCTCATCCACGCTGTACCTGTGAAAACCGCCTCCTACATGATCATGGATACCCCCCTTTGCCATCCATTGTAAGCTGAAGAGAACCATTTTTTGACCTTCATTTGCTTCACCTATTTTGCCAGTTTCCTTTAATTTCTTTGAGTAATAAAGCATCAACTGAATCTCAACAGGTCTTGGGAACTTCGGAGCAGATCCAAAGCCACCAAGCTTTGAATCATAACTATGAGAAAGCTGGAAAAGAAATGAAGAATTTGTGACGGACAATTAATCTATACAGAAAATTTTATTGAAATAACATGGATTAACAAAAAAAGGAGAGAACTATTCAAGATTTCATTTACTCCCAACAAAATGTTAATTGATTCTTTCAAGTATACTATAATAGACATTCCAGATCAACCTTTGAACATTAAGTAATTTTCTTTTTCTTTTTCTTTTTTTTGTTTGAGGCGGGGGATGGGGAACCTTAGGAAATTGTAGGAGACTAGCTAAAACATTCTAGGAAACTATGCCCAGGCTCCTGAAAAATCTTGTAAAATAAGTGATAAATCAAGACATGTATTTTATGCATATGGATAACTATCATAAAATAGATATGCATACTTGTTCAGCACATAAGTGCAATGCAATCTGTGGAAGTCCATCTGCCAATTTATTTGATCCTGCATTAGCAGACAGTGCTTCTGAAAGTTGTTCGATAGCAAATTCACCACTCTTAACAAGCATATCCCTCTTATTATCCCAAGCATCTTTAACCTTTCTGAGAAAACACAGGAGGAAACAGTCCTTAGAAGTGGCACAAAGACAAGCATTATTCTTCTTTAGAAAGCCAAGCTATAAGCAAACAATTTGGATTGCCCTCACCACTTCCAGACAAAGAGAGAGAAGTTATTTCCAGACAGAGAGAGAAGTTATCTCCTCACCTAAGTATAGTCTTGAACCCTGGTCTTCCGTACTTGTCATCTGGGGGAAAGTAAGTTCCGCCCATCAAGGGTTTCAAATCTGGTGAAAGAAAAACAGACAGTGGCCAACCTCCACCACCATACAGAGCTTGTACATACGTCATATACACCTGTATTAGGTAGTACATTGCATAACTGAGGAAAGAAATACTTTCAGATTCACTAGACACAACCTCCCTCAGCAGCTATAGAAAATATGACCACTTTTTTTGACTTTCTGTTTAAAACAGACCTAGATGGGGTGTAAGTTAGACTTGAAGACAACACCATATACTCCTTATATCTAGAAGTGTCGTCCATCAAACTAAGTGGAATCACACCTTAATCAGTCCATTTAATAGCTTTTTCTTATGAATGTCTTTAATAATCTTCAAAGTCGAGCAAAAGCTTGGCTACTATATGACTTTAACCACTTGAACAAAATAAACCCAAAAATTTATATTAAACAGATTCCAATTGCATAAGAATTCAGTACACGTGAATGAGAAAAAATTTGAAAGGCACATTGGTCTAAAATTAAAGTACCTTGTCAACATCCGGTCGTTCCTCCCGATCCACCTGTTGCATACAGAAAATAAACCAGAATCTTCGAAAGCAGGTAGATTTTAAAATGGTACCATCTTACAGTGCAAAAATGAGTTGAAAACATCCACAATGTAAGAAAAGACTAAATTTGGACTCACCTTAATACTAACAAACCAATCGTTCAACAGTTTTGCAACATCTTCATTCTCAAAGACTCTACCTCCATGACATGACACCTTATTAAGGATTACAGAAAAAAGAAAATCACTCCTC